TCGAATATATCTTATTTCATTGATTCCAAACAACAGAAACTCGGATTTATCACTACTGTAAGCGCAGAGAAAAATTAACGGAGCTACCGGGACTTGAACTCGGGATCCTTCGCTCACAAGCCTAGCACTTAGGCTGCTAACCCACGACTGCTCCACTACTACGCTAATTTCTCCGATCCCTCATCAATACTGGCCCTACGGCCCCAAATCTCCTACACTACAGATAATCCCTTTCCATTCATTGATGGTCCAATGTCTGTGAACTATTGCAAATTCAAATCTTTTCTCATTTTTTTTAAATTAATGACTTTTTATGTAACGGGCCGTCCTTCAAATAAATCGACATCTCTTAAGTGTTGCTTTACAGAATCAAATGATAAATTTTTGTTATAAAACTTGAAAATTCGGCTTGGATTTTCGTAGAAGTATATTTGTTTGAAAAGATGAACAATTTGGCGGTTCTCACGCACAGCAGTCGTAAATTTTGGTCAATCGCTCTTGGGTAGTGACTTTACATGGCCTATCATCTCAAAATTCTTTAATACACGTTGTATTAAAGATTTTGAGGCCGTTTTGAGGTCTTCTATACAGCGGCAATGTCCTTCAACGTAGTATCGTTTGCTCGTGTAGAAATCATAGCTTTTTTTTGCGTTTTGTGAAATATATTTGCCATGACAACTAAGCCAAATTATCAAAACACAAGAAATTTTATATGGAATTAATTTGCTAATTATTTGCTATTTTTGTTTTTAAAAATAATTCTTTTGCTTCAGCTATTAAAAAGGTCTTAAGATTAAGCTATCCAGCCCTTTGTAACTTAAATTTTTAATAGCTGGAGCAAAAGAATTACTTTTAAAAGCAAAAAATAGCAAATAATTAGCAAATTAATTTCATATAAAATGTATTGTGTTGTGATAATTTGTCTTAGATAGATTAATATATCTTGCCATGAGTCATTTTACCAAATTCCCCCAAAAATTCCAATAAAACAATAAAGAAGTAAAAAAAGTATTTTTAATACTAAAACATGGGAATAAGAGATATAAAAATTAATTTAAAATGTATATTATATATATTCGATACGAATAACAGGAAAAAAAAGAAAAATGGGAGCAGAAAAGTTAAAATTGTTTTATCTTTCCGGCAAACTATTTAACACAATTCTAAGGCATATTTTTTTCTACCTTCTTCTCAAAAATTTTAGAAATAGGTTGCTTCAATTATAGAAATTATCGCGTATGTTGTAATAGCGTGACTAAGTATTAAGCTTGTAATTTTATATTACAAAATTAGCAGCACATTATACGTACATATGTACCAAACATGTTACATAAATACTCGATAATGTTAATCTGAAGAAGAGGAGTGGAGAACTGCACGTGCACGCTGTGATAACGAGTAGATAAATGTTCTAGCACCATCAAGTATTTGCCATTCGATTAATACGAGTTAACTATTCCACGAGAAACGTATGTATTACTATTCTTTATTATAGTACGACTATATGATATAAAATATTACAAAAGCAAACTTTTTAAAATTGTTAGTATATTGCAATTTCGTGCAGCATATCTTTATCATTTTACTATCTATTTATTAATTACAATCTCAAGATTAGTATTATTATTTATATTTGGAAGTTTATTATATTTCTTAAATAAATATACAATGTTATTAAGTAATATTTAAATAAGATTTTTTAAGATGCAAATAAAATTGCGTTTGTTTTATATTTTTTTACTATTACGGTAACTTTTAATTTGTATTATTCACACTTAAAATGTTAGTTTATCTCATATTTCGCACCATTTTAAACAACAATAATGTTATAAAATTGCAGCTAAAACTATCGCACTAAAACTATCTGCTAAGAATACATGTACAAAACAGATAAGACGAATGCAGAAAAAAAACGCGTATGTACAAATGAGATAGACATCAGAAAAGATGATAACATATTTTCATTATTGCGATAGCATGTTACATCCGTTATTCAGTAGCGTTCAGTCAGCACAATATGTTATATTTGATAAACAGACCATTCGATCGACGGTAGTCGTCTGGTGAACAACGGGCACAAATCAGTGCATAGTAATGTTGAAAAGTCTACGTTTTTAGAACGTTTGGACAAAATATCATTTAACACGATTTTATACGCAGAAGATGAGCCTTGAACCCATCGGAGCAGATTTACAGAAGAAGATAGATAAAATGCCGCGTATCAGACCGTCGAATCAGCCACCCAAAGTTTGGAAATTGGTCGAGAAGACGGATAAGAATGGGAAACCGATGAAATTTACGATTCAGGAAATTCCTGAGGACCGGTACGAAGACGCGGTACAACACATGTGCACGTATTTCTTAGCCGACGAACCGACCTGCCACTGTTTGAGTAAGTGCAATGTCACCAATTGTTCGATAACGTATCTTTTAATATCGATCTTATTCACCGTTCGCGGATTTATGATAAAAAAAGTTACGATTAGAAAAAATAAAAAAAGAATTCGCAAGGACTATTTTTCGTCTTAGAATAATTTCTAACGACGCCAAAAAGAAATGCATATCTTTTGTAATCATGCGAGGCAATCGTTTTTTTGTCACTTTTTGATCTATTTTATTTGCAGATGCGAAAGATGACCCCGTATTTGTACGAGATGCAAGCACTATCTGGCGCTTATTACTCGCGGAAGGCATATCCATAGCCGCATTCACCGACAATCCTAACGGTGGGAAACCCATAATCGCCGGTATGAACGCTCTGGGTATTGGTAGTAAAAGTGAGAAGGATAGCATTTCCGGTTACGAGGTGAGTTCTATTAAGTTTTGTAAATTTGATTACTCTGTTCGAGTTCATTCTTTGCGTGCAAGCTTTATTTTGAGTGTTATTTATATATAAGTGCATATAATATAATTATAGTATATATATAATTGTATAATAATGCAATTATATAATTAGAATGTAATTAATATAATAATAATATTATATTAAAACTATAAGCTTTAGCACAGCAATAGTGTCATAAACATAAGTCACAAACATCAATGTATAAATATCTATATCAATATTGTATTGATCGTCAAGTGTTTTAATCCTTTTATTAGCGTCCTTCGCCTTTTGTCGTTATTATATGCGTTCGCGGAGCGCGCTATTAGCGTTAAGGGGGGAAAACTAAGTAAAAGCACGAAAATAAGCGATTTTTTGAACAATTTTTTTAGAGATAATAAAATAATCGCATTAATTTAAACTTTTGGCATACTTTAATTATAGGTGTCAAGCACTGAAAAAGAAATTTTTTACAAAAGAAAATG